TTTAACTTTACACAATTTCAGGTGCGCATGTACTACCCCGTTATCCACTTGGTTGAAATAAGCGACAGCATTTACATGTCCAACGACTCTCGCCATGCATTGTACCAGTATATCTGTATAGCATGCGTTTTTCTTTTTTTTTAAATGCTATAGTGATTCATGTAACATATATTACAGTACTAGTAGCAGATTTACGTTTATGTAAAGTGGATTGTCGTGAATGTCAAAATGGATAACTTATTACCAGGTTAAAGGAGGGGTTTGTTGGAAATGGGGTACGTTTGTCTCTGGTCTGTTGGCGGCAATTTCTTTTCTTTTCTGAAAAAAGGGACATTTAACCATCTCAGTAAGCCCTACGTGAGATATTGTGTAGGGCTTAAAAAGTAAAATTCGATCAGAGCGGGTCTTTTCTGGACATAAAGACAATTTATGTCGAGCCCCCACACACCCCCTTGTTTACATGCCTTCATTTGACCTTGTAAAACATCAATGGTAAGACAACGTCTGTCAAGAGCGTTTGGTTGAAATAAAAACAGTTTGATCCGTGTACATGTAATTTACGTTTTAGATAGTGTGCAGTGTGTACCAGGTGTGTGCTGTTGGAATGGACAAGGCGGCTAGCTGGTTATCGGTTAGTATCAGTGAGTTTTACCCCAGATAACAAAATAGGGTCTTTGTTTTTTGTTAAAATTCGTCCAGTGTGAAGTATCCATTAATTTAACGATGAAATGAAAATTCATGAACCTATATATATATATCCCAGTACAACAGTAAATATAATTTCCCCACTATTAATTAATTAATTTATTTATTTATTAAGTCAGTTACTTTGGTTTGTGCATAATATTTTAAAGATATGATTAAGGTTTTCTGACGATTGCTAATGTGTTGGCCATTTTACCAGGCACATTTGTCCGTACAGGACACTAGTCTGGAATATTATTTTATATTAATATTGTCAAATACAGTTGGGTAAATAAAATTCGGGAATTTTTTTTAAAGCAGCAACTTTTGTTTGTGTTCGCTATCTTTTCCCGACAGGGCAGGCTAGTTTGCAAAATTAACCACGCTGAATCTGAAGAGGCGCAACCTGTTGCTAGCAGTCAAATGCGGTTTGTATCTGGTGTTTTGGACACGTGCAACCTCGTGGACACGATCTCAAAGACAGGCCTGTGGGTCACCATAAAGCCTTTGTTGCATATGTTAATATCTAAAAAAGTTAAAGGCTGCAAAATTTACAGTTCCTTAATTGCGCGCAAATTTGATGTTGACTGTCAACTATTGGCGAAAGCTTAACTTTAAAGGAAGCGAGAATGTGCATTAATTAATTCGTTCTCCAAGTATTCGCAAGTCCGTTGTAACAGGGGGTTAGATTTGAGCGTTCACGCGGTCAGTCATTATCTTTCACTCATCTTCTTCATCTGGAACAGCACATGCAAGCTGAAATCACAGGTGAGTTGATAGCGAATTAAAAAAATCTGGGTTTTGCACACAGGCACTGGTTTAATGACACCTTGTGACTTCATATCATTCGCTTGAGATGGCTGAACTAATGATTTTCTCTGGGCTGAACATGCCGTGCTGAAAACGAATAACAGCGCGTATGCCACGGTCATAATGATATCCAAGTTGAATTCAGATTTTTTCATAAATTGTTACAATAGCACAATGTTATCGTGTAAAACGGCACTGGTACACGCGGAATGAATATTGGCAATCTGTTTTGATGGTTATCTCTGTCAAGGATGACATGTTTGTTTGTTTGTTAGTTCCATGTGCGACAGACCATCTCCAGTGGATTTAAGACTCATGAAAATTGTGATGTGCTCTCTGAGCGGCATTCTAGTTTATTAAGTGTTGAAACATTTGCTTTGGTTTGAAAGGAAATGGTCTAAAAGTGCAAATTTGATGTCCACAAATTTCAGGTTCGCCGACAAAACTAAAAAAAAAAAAAAAAAAAAAAAAAAAAAAAAAAAAAAAAAAAAAATTTGTAAATGACGTTAATTTGTAGCATTCGTGACTGAGCCCTTGGCTTAATAGCATGCTTCCATGCTATGAACATTAATTTTGCGGTTTCCTGTTTGGTTTATTAAGCTAGGAGTGCATATACCCTGGCTAGAGGGGGTATAGAATGAGCGTGGGTTTGTCTGATATGCTCTTTATATAGGAATGTACATGTCTGATGGTAATTTTTACCACAAGTATCATAAACAAGATGTTGGGAGAGATATTGGTGACACACCGCAGAATACAATTGACGAAAGAGAGATAGGGAGAAAACACAGCTGTGTGTGAGTGTGTGTGTGTGTGTGTGTGTGTGTGTGAGAGAGAGAGAGAGAGAGAGAGAGAGAGAGGTCGACAGTATAAGTGTGACTGTAGGGACTGAGGGATAGAAAACCGATTGCTACATTGTACCTGCAAATACCGCCTTCTGAAAATGTTGGGTTCGTGCATTATGTTCATCAAACGCAGATCGACTGCTTGAGGTCTTATATAACTTCACGTTTTTCTAATAAATGAGTACAATACCAGCTTGTCGACACTAAAACTAAGACAGTAGACATATTTGGTCTGATGCGCGCAACTCAATAACCGACTACTTTACCTCTTGGCATTTTATGCAGTTTTTTGACAAATCCAGGCGTTTTCAACGGCGTCCAGGGGTAAACATTCGCACAGAAAGGATCATAAAATGTTACCGATTTTACACAATTAGTACACACCTCGTGTTTCTGTAGCATTCAGGTTAATTGTCCCCCATAATCTTTACAAACTATCAAATTCCCATTAAATGGGTTTAAATCATTTGACAAACGCCTCTCATCCTGCATGCGACATACAGGTGAATTTATACCGCCATGGCCGTCAATGATACAGGTAAGGGTACCATTTCATGTCTGCCTTAACGTTTTCTTTTCTGTAATGAAAACATAGGAGCAAGCCAGTATGTATCACCTGATAACTTTGCCCCTCACACTAAAAAGCTAAACCTTCAGTGAATTCTTTTAACCGTCATTGAAAACGTTGAACGAACTGAAGTTGACACTGGTCACCATACATATATACTACCAGCAGTGAATGTAATAACCTTATTTATTCTTGAACGAAAACTGTCACTTTCGCTCCTGGGACTCATAAAACCTTTTTTAAACAAGATCTCCCCTAACTTAGAGTAGCTACGAGTTGCAATCTAGCTGTTAATTTTTAGAATGACACAGCGAGGTCAGCTATTTTTAAGCATCAAAGGCTGTGGGAAACCGACTCGTGTGAATCACTTTCAAATCTGACCAAAGCTGGCAGCCTCGTGCAGTTTAATGTCGGATGTAGGAACCTCACAATAACCGGAAAACAACGTAGATCCAATTCTTTAAATGCTTCTTTTTTATATAATTTTGAATCCATTCCCAATTTTCTCTATATAATTCAAAATTAGTAACTACAGACGGAGTCAATAAACTGCAGTTCATCGCCCAATGCCTCTAATATTATATTGCCATGTACACTGACATATGATAACTAAAAAGGGGTATATTCTTGTAGATACGTGTACGACGAGAAATCAAATCTTAGCTGTATCCTCAACCACAAGGACTTGTTACAGGTTATTTTTAAGCTTCTCAACAAGAGACCACGCTTCATGGATCTATTTTCTCCGTTTAATCAGCTTGTGCGTCATATGTGAACTTTTTAGGCTAGCTATAAGGACTAGTTGAGATCCATGCAATGCCTCCATAATTTTTCCACGGAAAGGAGACATAAACTGCGTAGCATTCTTGTTTGGTAGTTTGGTAATCAACTGCACAATTTTGATAAAACAAAGGAAATATTTTTTCTATTAGTGATCGATTTTCATCTGGATTGTTAGAGCAATATTTGTAAGGGGAATAATCTAGCTGACCAATAAGATAATTAATAGATCTGTGTGCCCTGTTCATCCCCCTGTGGACCTTGGCATTTGGTTGCACTAGAAAGTGTTTGATGCGTTTCAACGCGATGTATTTCAATAAGTTCTGTGTACTGAACTTTTCGTTTGATTGATTTAATAGTGTCTGGAGAACGCAGTGAACATCAAAATCAAAGATTAAAAAAATCGATGTGTTGTTTATAAGACCACTAGCCCACATATTGGTCACAGAGGGTTGCCATTCCGTTTGGACACTCAAGTTTTTAAAAACAGATCTATAAAGTGAATATGAGAAATATAAGGACACGTTTGGAGAAGACCACTAAAGAAGTGCAAATAATTCGTTGATGCAGTATTTTACGCCATGCCTTCTTTATTTCTTGTAAGTGAAGCTTTATTTTAATTGAATGAATGGGAAAAAAGACGTGCTACTTTGAAAACTGAATACGTAAGGTGACTCAACAACTAGTAAACTGTTTTAGGGCTAACTGCCTATTAGACGAAACAAATTACACATAACTTGTCTTTCTTGACTTACCTGCCGAACCTTAAAGAAAATTGCATTCCTTGTCGTGACAGAATGGCTTTGCACAGGAGGACATCAACGGTGTAAAAAGCAACAAGAAACAAATTTTATACACAATGCTATCGCGCAAATTAAAACCACCTTTACTCACTCTTTGGTTCACTTTTACCAATTAAACGTCGACATTTCCAACATGCTGTTAATAATAATAAAAAAAAAAAACTTTGCATTTTTGAATCTGAATACATGTGACAGGCTTTTGTTATATTTCATCAATAAATGAAAATGAATAAATAATTGAACAACAATAAATAAATAAATATTTTTATTTATTTATTTATTAACAAATTCATCTTCGACAAGAAAGAGAAAAACAATCGGTTGTATTGAAGATTGCCGGGGTTTTATTTCAGTCAAACGATGGTAGAGAAAAAACTGCAGACACCCGAAGAGTGAATATGGCATTAGCCTGGTTGTGCGGAGTGCGGACCACGTGGTAACAAATGCAGTTAACAGCTCATCAAAATCTATTTGTGCCACGAAAATTGAAAAAGTCCATTGCTCTATCTTACGAGCAATTGTGTAAGGGGAATTGCCATTAAGGCGGAAACGGAAAGGTAACAAATCTTTGGGAGTGGGTCCAGATGTAGTCTACCCACACGGTACACAGGAACTGCGCAATGGGTAAAGTAACGATTATAAGCGCATATACTTCAATGCTTCTGCTACTTTCTAATTGCGATATATCGACGCCTGTCGCGTTGCCGCTACAAAAACCTGCCAGCAGGAAACCGTTGCCTGGTAACGAACCAGGCTTTCCTTCAACTAGCAACGTCCAATCAAACACCATCCACGCACAGGGCAGTTCTTCACCTCTTAATACAGAGCAAAACGCTGCTCCTCAGAATGCCGCACCGTTTGTATTGTCGGCGGCGGGTAACGTGAGTCATGGCACAGGGAACATTAGGATAAGTGCGGCTCCAGTGGAACAACTTCCAGCAGAACTCTCACGACCAGTCCCGTTCCCTGTGCAGCAACCCAGCCAATCCGCTGCGGTGACACAGACACCGCCCTATCACACCACGTGGTGCGGCATGAGGTACGAAATCCCATTCCAGGTTTTCTCAGGGCTTGAACATTTGGGTCCTGCCGATTTCGTCTGTTGCTCGCCAGTAACGTGTCCTCAAAATGGTCAAGCGTGCCAGTGTTATTGGTACTGCTTCTGTAATCTTCCCACACCATCGTCTGCTGGGACAACACCACCATCTCCGGGAGAGCCCACGTTTAAGCCGCCACCGATTCAAGAGGTTCAGGTCACATCGTCTCTCGTCACGCGCCCATATCCGGAAATCTTGCCACAACCGGTGCCCTCCTCGGGTTGTAAAACCACTACACCACTGAGCGTTCGGACTCCGAACTTTTTTCAAACATCTTATGGTATTTGTGATGAGTCTTCCTTTAGCAAAGGGACATTTATGATTATTAGGGATAGAAAACAAAAGGAGGTAGCGTTTCTTGTAAAAAATGGACAGTTTATATCCCCAGAAAGGTAACTTTTTTCTACTATTGTTTTTGTATTTTTCTTTATTTACATTTTTTATATAAATGCTACAATTTAATTACATATTTTCTTCCATATTGCTACATGTAGCCACAAAAAATTTATTTCAGATGGTAAGATAACAATACTGCTTCGTCAATTTAGGCTAAAATCAATCTACATTTTGAAGACCATATAGGAATTTTGATTGTAATATTTTATCACTGATTTAGTTTACTACATACTGTTCACACAATCAGATTGTGATTGGCCAATGATATTCGGAACAACAATCGTTTCACGCGAGCTTTAAATCGCCTTGTGAGTGTTGCCTCACATATTGGACGAGGCGCTCCTCATATTAAAATGTCAAATTTAGGTTTCCAAAGAAAGGGATTTCAGCAGCCTCGGCGACGGCTAAAACCACCGCTTTAAGTTTTGGAATGGACACTGACAGGAACCGGGCATGCCCAGGGTAAGACCAGATAATCTGACATGGAGGAATATTCTCAATCTGACCCGAAGTCTAAGAGAAAATTGTCAGCTATAAAGGTGTTTGATTCCCACAACCGAATACTAATTTTACACCCGTCTAATCTACAGAATCACTTGCTATGTATATTGAAAGATCGCAACAAGCTGCTTTTTTGTTATGTATTTTAAAAAATTTTGGGGAATTTTTTTAAATGTCAGTCTCGAATATATGCTTATGTTATGACAGGCGCGACTATGTTAAAGAGCAATGTTAATATGAATGTCTCGTATATCCAGGGTTCTATTCTACACGACTCCCACCGACAGAAGGACGTTTTATTATGGTAGTTTTCCTGTTCTCATGGAGCCAGCGACGATAGACGATCAAGTTCAAACCTTCCCAGCTCGAATGTGTGCGTAAGTATGCTCACCCTGCGTGTTGTTATTGTTTGAATTAATAATTTGAGAAGTAGAAGAAGACGAATGTGTTAAGCCTCGGTCACAACCGATTTTTGGGTGTTGCGGAGGCCGTGGAGGTTGCAGAGGTAGAGGAAAGTCTGCCTTGCGAGGCGCAAGGGCCACATGAGATGTCCTTTCGGGCAGGGACGCTAACTGCAAGGGGGGATGGTCGTGGAAATTGTACTCATTTCTTGAGTTTGTCTTGCTTCCTGTGTACGTGGCACACACTCACAAATTACGGAGGGAATGTAACGCACGGCGAAAGTAGTGCCCTTTTGCGTCAGTTTTGCTTTACACTTGCCTCACACGTTTGTGGTGACGTACTGACGGCGTACTTCAGTTTTGCTTCCTGGTCTCATCTTCTTTCTTCTTCCTCCCCCCTTTTTTCTACTATGTAAGCTTCTTTCTCTTGCCTTTTGGAGGCATATTAGAAACTATTTAAATTGAGCAAAAATTTGAAATTTTTGAAAATTGTTGTACACGTTACAGAGTCGACGTTCATTGTAAAGACACGAGCGCGCGTCGCGAGCACGCCTTTTATTCACCATGCGTGGGGGTGACGCACGTGCGACGCATTCTCGGTTTGCTCTCGACTTTGTTCGTTAGTTGTGAGGGCGTGCGCCTTATATTACTCAATACGCAAAGGGCACTTGCTCCTTCATTACTTGCGACGTACGTCTTGCACAACGCGCGTCTCTCTTGCTAACTCCGTGCGAGAGGAGCAAGTTACGCTGGCGGCCTCGCTGTTCGCAGGCTATTCGCAGAATCTTTTGGACATGCCCAACATCCTCCGTACGTGCTTAGAGGCTGTCTGCGAACTCGAAATTGCGTAAGAAGGCCTTGCGTGGGACGTGAGATTCTGCTCAAAATTTGCATGCAAACAGCCCGTAAGAACCCGTACGGCCGGTTGTGACCGAGGCTTTAAATAGTTTGATGACGACATTAGTCTAAAAAGCGAAACTGTGCAACCTAAAGGTGGCAATCTTAAATGCACCGGTGTTTTTTCTTCACATGATTTCCGCGCCAATGCTAATTCCCTTGATTATAAAAACAAAATTGTCCTACTCATAAAACATTGTTCGACCCGACCCTGAACGTGAATTTTGTGTCACTTCTAATTATTTGGTTATAAATAGGCCATGATTTATTTTAACTGCCGTGTCTTCCTATAGATTTCAGAAATGAATACATAGAGATCAGGCACTTTTATTTGAGGGGTTGTGTAGTCTTTCTGTTTGTTTGACTGTTTGTTTTTTAATTGTGCATTGGGACGAAAAAAAACTTTGGAAGATAGAATTTAAATATAACTTAGAGACAGATATGATGTAATATACCTAAAGCTGTGTGTTATCTGGAAACAGTAGGTAGAAGATCGTATTATGTGAATAAACATAATTTTACTTTTCTCTAGCTGGAAGATACAGAAGATGTTTAATGGGCATATACCAATGAACGGCATATCGCNAAAAACTACGCTCAAAGTGATGACGTCGCACGTTATACGTCGTACGGAAGGCCTTGCCAAAACTCTCTATTACTTGCGACGTACGTCTTGCACAACGCGCGTCTCTCTTGCTAACTCCGTGCGAGAGGAGCAAGTTACGCTGGCGGCCTCGCTGTTCGCAGGCTATTCGCAGAATCTTTTGGACATGCCCAACATCCTCCGTACGTGCTTAAAGGCTGTCTGCGAACTCGAAATTGCGTAAGAAGGCCTTGCGTGGGACGTGAGATTCTGCTCAAAATTTGCATGCAAACAGCCCGTAAGAACCCGTACGGCCGGTTGTGACCGAGGCTTTAAATAGTTTGATGACGACATTAGTCTAAAAAGCGAAACTGTGCAACCTAAAGGTGGCAATCTTAAATGCACCGGTGTTTTTTCTTCACATGATTTCCGCGCCAATGCTAATTCCCTTGATTATAAAAACAAAATTGTCCTACTCATAAAACATTGTTCGACCCGACCCTGAACGTGAATTTTGTGTCACTTCTAATTATTTGGTTATAAATAGGCCATGATTTATTTTAACTGCCTTGTCTTCCTGTAGATTTCAGAAATGAATACATAGAGATCAGGCACTTTTATTTGAGGGGTTGTGTAGTCTTTCTGTTTGTTTGACTGTTTGTTTTTTAATTGTGCATTGGGACGAAAAAAAGCTTTGGAAGATAGAATTTAAATATAACTTAGAGACAGATATGATGTAATATACCTAAAGCTGTGTGTTATCTGGAAACAGTAGGTAGAAGATCGTATTATGTGAATAAACATAATTTTATTTTTCTCTAGGTGGAAGATACAAAAGATGTTTAATGGACATATACCAATGAACGGCATATCGCCAACGATGCACTGGTAAGAACTTTATAACTTCCCTTGTATTGTTTTTCTGCGTGGGTTTGACCGAAAAGCCAGTGTGAACTGTTTACACCATATATGCAATTTGAAAATTAAAAATAAACGTAATGCGCTATTTTACTCATATGTACCTTTTATGAAATAAGAATACAGTTGGAGTGCCCATGCCTCTCTATTGTTCGCCAAGATTAAACTATATTTTATATAATTCCTTGGGGTCCATTTGTCCTTTCGAATTTTCGTTTCAGGAGTGAGTTAAAAAGATGTTGCGGAAATGACGTCATGGGTTCATATATGACATGCGTGGAACAGCAACGGGAAGTTCCGGTTGTGTACCAATGTCTGAGGGGGCAATGCCCGCACGGTTATAACGGCCCTCAGCTCAAAATATTCTGGGTGAACATTCCAGTTGCTTGCCTGTGCAAAAACATTGGATAATGGTGTCAAGGAAATCATAAAATCTGAACATACAGTAGCGTGCGATGATTTTCACTCGTGGTGATCAGTGACCTAAATACGTCACCGTTCTTTGTTTTTTCCTGCACCACTTTCCAAATTAAATCAAATTATTACAGTGATTAATTCACAGACGTGCACGTTACTGCTGCAGATTCCAGGTGCATTAGATAGCGCCTGCACGTTTGTTTGCCGGTGACGTGTCATTAGGGCGAGATCTTTCTTTGTAATTGAAACACTCTGCTCGAGAACAATGAACTCACGTCGCAAGGCGTCATGGCACTTCGAAAGGATTGTCGTTGTTCAAATAACTGGCTGACGTAGCTGCACGGACAAAAATGCTGTCTTTATATAGAGGCCGTTCCGACATTTAATAAAGCCGTGGAGTTCGGGCCACGGAATAAGATGGTGCCTACTTTAACCTGGTCCCTCCGACAAAGGGAGTAAAAACATTATAATAGGCTGTTCACGTGGTTTATTGATCACCTGGTTCAATACTGCATAGGAAAACATTTGAGGTGATTGTCAACAAGTATGAATATTTTGTAACAAAAAATTACATGTAGTCTTTTAAATTAAAACAATATTGCATATTATTACTATGTGTATTCAAGCCACTTCGTCTACAAATTATCTTTGCACAACTCATCTGAAACTTCAAAATTAATTACCAGAAATTAATTACCAGAAAATATGATCAAATTCCAGTCAAATTATTCTATATTGTAATATCAGCCTGTAGCGATATGTATACTTTCTGTGAGCGTAACTTCTAAAAGCAGTGCATTGCTTCAAAGCTGACATCTTAATATTACCATTCCATTCACAAGATTTGATTCCAGCATAAAGATCTATATAGATTTAGACATAGGAATTTGTTTTTAGCTTTACGAGTATACCCACATCGAGGGCAATCAAGTTTTATGTTAAAATATGTTTTGGGTTGAATGAGACATACTTTGGGTAATACATTCTGAAATTTGCCACTCACCCTCGCACTAAAAGTGCTCTACGATATACTTTCCTGTGGTTGATTCCATTCTAGGTTTAGTGACCACAGAAAGTACCATATTCTTAAGTTGCTACATTCAGCTTACCTTCCGTTCTATCTATCTAAACATCTAGGACTTTGTTTCAGCTCTAAGAATTTGCCAATACCGAAAGTTTATAATGTACAGTACAATCAAGTTCACAAGTATAACTTACTCATACACATGTAAAACTATTTGTTCCCATTTTTTTTTTTTTTTTTTGAAAAAGACCTTTGGGCACTATATGTAAATTGTAACATGAGTTACTCAAACTTTAGTCTATACAATGGGGACATTCGCCGAGAACAAGGCACATCGTTTTTCGTGAAGAATATCTCTAAGAACGGCCATGGTTTTCTCTGACTGGTGGGATCTAAAGCCGTGGTAGATACTGTCCAAGAGCCAACGCACACCCTNCGGCACTATATGTAAATCTGTAACATGAGTTACTCAAACTTCAATCTACTATACAGCGGGACATTCGCCTTAAAGGCACATCGTTTTTCGTGAAGAATATCTCTAAGAGCGGCCATGGTTTTCTCTGCCTGGTGGGATCTAAAGCCATGGTAGATACTGTCCAAGAGCCAACGCACACCCTCCTCCTTGTCCCCACTCTGTAACTGTTTACGGGCGTTCTTCAAATTCACTTGGTTGACCATGTTTCCTGATCGGCCGGGAAGCTCTCTGGTCAGTGCCATAAGGTCATCGTCAGGCAGGAGGAAAAGTTCGTCAGATAATCTAGAATGAGAAAAGAAAAAAAAGGAAAGAAAGGATTATACAGTCTTACTGGACACACACACACATATCCTATTATGTCGCTGGAGACTATGTTGTAAGTTATTATAGTCACTCAAGAACATGACAGTATGATCATGCTTATTATCCCTACTTAAATTTATGGTTCATGTACTTATCATTTTGATTATCCGAACTCCAACACTTCCATGCTGCTAACGTACCACTAGTAAACAGTAAAGCTTGCAAACGCTTTTGTTTTACTTGAATATAATTTCTTTGAAATCTTTTAATCAGTTGATGTTATTTGCCAAATTCTATCAGCATCGTCTTTGAAACGTAACTGGCTGAGTGTGTTTTACCGATTATCAAATTACCTCAGATACTTCCCAAGTTTTGCCAACCCGATATCATGAATAGCACCGCAAAAGACATAAAACTCGTAGTCGGTTTTCCCTCGAAGAATGTCGAGTAGCAGTTTCACCTTCTCATGGACCACGGGCTCATTTCCCACGTCAAATGCCTCCTCGTCGTTTAGCACATGACCACGTCGTAGCCGTTGAACTATATTGTCCACGCCTTGGTACTTGTTATATATTTCGTTTATGAGGGCTGGGCCGTGTCTCTCTAACGCCTGAATGTGCCATATTTTTATATTACCTAGAATGAATAAAGTATTTGTATAGTAATGGCAATGGTTATAGTTATTGAAGATTGTCGAAATTAATTGATAACTCTTTTAAAGCCAGCGTTAATGTTTTATATAAATGGACATGGACATCCTTGAAAATCTTTGTTAAAATGCTTACAGCATATATTATTTTGCACAAAGTTTAATTCAACGGGTCACTCACCTGGCTTGCCATTGAAAGGCATCTTAATAGGATTATTAAGGCTGAGATGCCACAGAAAGATAATTTTACAACACACAGATATGGCGTTGGTTTAGCCATCCCAAGATTAATTTGAAAACAAACAGAAAGGTGCAAATATCAAAGAAACTGTTAACTGTTGACAATTTTTCATGGCAACTGTCTTCTTTTTTTTTTCCATTTTAAGCCTCATAGACAAACTTTGTGCAGTGTGCTCTTACCTTCCTCATCTGAGCGTGGGAAGTAGAAATCCGCCGAGTACATGACCACCGGACCCTGGCGAGAGTCGCAATGCCTGTATGGTACGGGCTGGCCCTGGGGCCTGTGAAGCAGCTCAGCTGGTAGACTACGTGTTGGAGGATCGTTGTGTTCGTTGACGCAGTGCGGGCAAACAATGAAATCATCACGTGGACTTCCCGGGCACTCGCGCTCCATGGTCTTGCGATAGGTACGATACAGGTCATTGGCGGCCCGTTTCAACCTGATGACGTCTTTGCCCCTGACGGCGACTTTAATTACGCCATTGTTGGCTTGTCTTGGCAACGTGTACCTTTCGAGCAGTACCTGGACATTGGTGAACTGCGCACAGGCGCCATCTTTCCAGTCAATCCTGCTCCTTTCATTTCCCATGTGGAGGGCGTGGTGGAGAAGGACTGCGCTGCACTCATAGAGGCCAGTTGGGCAAGGGTCCGGGAAGTGAAACTCTAAGGTAATCTGGACGTCATCTTTTGGCGCGAAATCCGGCCAATTCGCTGAGAGATCCGTCGGACGGGATTCCGTCAGTAGCCATGGCACGTGGAGCTTGTCTGTCGTCTTTGCCTTAGCATCTTTGCTTTCACGACCTTTGACCACGTAACCAATCTCGAATTTCGTCAGGAGGTCTATCATTGCATTTACATCGGCTCTCTCGAGCTTGAATTCCTCCCACAAACATTCCAACATGGGTCTACTGATGACACCCTTTTGCAACACGTCCTGCTTGTCGACTTTAAACCCCTCAGTTGTGTATCGGTTGCAGAAAGGAAGTTTATCGTAATTGAGAAACTCTTCCATGTTGTTTCGCAATACTGCTTTCAGAAAACCGATGATGACATCATGCTTGTGGAAGACGAGTTCACGAAGGTCATTCTCGCTCTCTGCGTACCAATGCACTCCACCTGTATCACGGAGATAATGTAAGATATCCTCGGGGTCGCTGGCTGGGGCTGGGTTGGCTGGGCTGGCGTCTGACGGCGACGGAATCAGATCAGACAGTTTAAGAAAAAGTTCACTTTTCTTGNGGGCACTATATGTAAATTGTAACATGAGTTACTCAAACTTTAGTCTATACAATGGGGACATTCGCCGAGAACAAGGCACATCGTTTTTCGTGAAGAATATCTCTAAGAACGGCCATGGTTTTCTCTGACTGGTGGGATCTAAAGCCGTGGTAGATACTGTCCAAGAGCCAACGCACACCCTCCACCTTGTCCCCACTCTGTAACTGTGTACGGGCGTTCTTCAAATTCACTTGGTTGACCATGTTTCCTGATCGGCCGGGAAGCTCTCTGGTCAGTGCCATGAGGTCATCGTCAGGCAGGAGGAAAAGTTCGTCAGATAATCTAGAATGAGAAAAGAAAAAAAGGGAAAGAAAGGATTATACAGTCTTACTGGACACACACACACACATCCTATTGTGTCGCTGGAGACTATGTTGTAAGTTATTATAGTCACTCAAGAACATGACAGTATGATCATGCTTATTATCCCTACTTAAATTTATAGTTCATGTACTTATCATTTTAATTATCCGAACTCCAACACTTCCATGCTGTTAACGTAACACTAGTAAACAGTAAAGCTTGCAAACGCTTTTGTTTTACTTGATTTATAATTTCTTTGAAATCTTTTAATTAGTTGATGTTATTTGCCAAATGCTATCAGCATCGTCTTTGAAACGTAACTAGCTGAGTGTGTTTTACCGATTATCAATTTACCTCAGATACTTCCCAAGTTTTGCCAACCCGATATCATGAATGGCACCGCAAAAGACATAAAAGTCGTAGTCGGTTTTCCCTTGAAGAATGTCGAGTAGCAGGTTCACCTTCTCATGGACCACGGGATCATTTCCCACGGCAAATGCCTCCTCATTGTCAAGCACGTCACCATGAAGTAGCCGTTGAACAATATTGTCCACGCCTTGGAACTTGCTATATATTCCGTTTATGAGGTCTGGGCCGTGTCTCTTCAACGCTTGAAAGTGCCATATTTTTATATTACCTAGAATGAATAAAGTATTTGTATAGTAATGGCAATGGTTATAGTTATTGAAGATTGTCGAAATTAATTGATAACTCTTTTAAAGCCAGCGTTAATGTTTTATATAAATGGACATGGACATCCTTGAAAATCTTTGTTAAAATGCTTACAGCATATATTATTTTGCACAAAGTTTAATTCAACGGGTCACTCACCTGGCTTGCCATTGAAAGGCATCTTAATAGGATTATTAAGGCTGAGATGCCACAGAAAGATAATTTTACAACACACAGATATGGCACTGTGAAGTTATCGTTGGTTTAGCCATCCCAAGATTAATTTGAAAACAAACAGAAATGTGCAAATATCAAAGAAACTGTTAACTGTTGACAATTTTTCACAGCAACTGTCTTCTTCTTTTTTTTTTTTTTTTTTTTTGCCATTTTAAGCCTCATAGACAAACTTTGTGCAGTGTGCTCTTACCTTCCTCATCTGAGCGTGGGAAGTAGAAATCCGCCGAATACATGACCACCGGACCCTGGCGAGAGTCGCAATGCCTGTATGGTACGGGCTGGCCCCGGGGCCTGTTAAGCAGCTCAGCTGGTAGACTACGTGTTGGAGGATCGTTGTGTTCGTTGACGCAGTGCGGGCAAACAATGAAATCATCACGTGGACTTCCCGGGCACTCGCGCTCCATGGTCTTGCGATAGGTACGATACAGGTCATTGGCGGCCCGTTTCAACCTGATGACGTCTTTGCCCCTGACGGCGACTTTAATTACGCCATTGTTGGCTTGTCTTGGCAACGTGTACCTTTCGAGCAGTACCTGGACATTGGTGAACTGCGCACAGGCGCCATCTTTCCAGTCAATCCTGCTCCTTTCATTTCCCATGTGGAGGGCGTGGTGGAGAAGGACTGCGCTGCGCTCATAGAGGCCAGTTGGGCAAGGGTCCGGGAAGTGAAACTCTAAGGTAATCTGGACGTCATCTTTTGGCGCGAAATCCGGCCAATTCGCTGAGAGATCCGTCGGACGGGATTCCGTCAGTAGCCATGGCACGTGGAGCTTGTCTGTCGTCTTTGCCTTAGCATCTTTGCTTTCACGACCTTTGACCACGTAACCAATCTCGAATTTCGTCAGGAGGTCTATCATTGCATTTACATCGGCTCTCTCGAGCTTGAATTCCTCCCACAAACATTCCAACATGGGTCTACTGATGACACCCTTCTGCAACACGTCCTGCCTGTCGGCTTTAAACCTCTCCTCTGTGTATCGGTTGCGGAAAGGAAGTTTATTGTACATGAGAAATTCTTCCATGTTGTTTCGCAATACTGCTTTCAGAAAACCGATGATGACATCATGCTTGTGGAAGACGAGTTCACGAAGGTCATTCTCGCTCTCTGCGTACCAATGCACTCCACCTGTATCACGGAGATAATGTAAGATATCCTCGGGGTCGCTGGCTGGGGCTGGGTTGGCTGGGCTGGCGTCTGACGGCGACGGAATCAGATCAGACAGTTTAAGAAAAAGTTCACTTTTTTTGAACTTGGCTTCTTCAATTTCTTCAATCTTCTGCAGCCACGATTCAGGGATTATTTTCTTCTTCTTTTCGGCAGCATCTGTCAAATATACTTCAATCTCTTTGATGCCCTCTCCCGTACTGGAACTAACGATATAAATCTTCTTGACGATTGCTGGTGGGGTATCTCGTAATTTCTCGAATTTCTCCAATTTCTCTGTGTAAGCTTCTCTTAACGCTTCGTCAACGTTCTCTTCTTCCATCTTTCCTTTAATTTTAGTGACAGCCACTTCAAGTTTATCCTTCCTGTTTTGAAGGTGTTTTCTGACAGCATCTTCAACTTCTTCTCGCTTGCTATTCACTTCTTCAAACCCCAGCAAATCTGAATGTGTTCCAACCAACGCTATGGTTGTCTCAGGTGTTCTAGAATAAATATTATCAATCCAGTCGCCTATCTGAACTCCAAAGTCATCCCTTATGCGTAGGCGTAGGTCGAAGACTAATAGTGCTAAAGCCTGCACAGTCAGAAATAAATTGTATGCAACTTTGTATATGTCGTGCCCACCAAAGTCGTTGATGTTCAAAAACACGTTCTCTCTCGGCTCCCACAACTGCTGCTCCACCACGTGGGTTCGGTTAGCCTTTGACGTCAGAGATGGTTGCCTGGCGACCAATGATTTCACAAGGCTTGTTTTCCCGGTTTCAGTTTCTCCAAGCACGTGGACTTGCAATCTTGACGTTGATGCTGACTCTGAATGCGCCAAGTCATCCAAGTAACGGGCTATGGCAGAGCTTCCTCTCGCCACCACCTCTGGCGGGGGTTGAACCAGTTCGGGATTTTCTTTCACATTCACCTTGGCTACATCCATTATGAACCTCAAATCTGTTGGCAATTTTGAGATTTTGTTACCGTCCAGGCGTACCTGCCGAAGATGACTCAGGGAGCCCATCTCTGGTGCAACTCGTTCCACTTTGTTTTTGGAAATGTCAAAAAGTTTCAAATGCCGCATTTGCTTGATCTCTTTTGGGATTTCTTTAATGTTGTTGTGATTGAGATCCAGGTGTTCAAGCCTGAATAAGCTGCAGATCTGTGTGGCAATTTCTTGCAGCTCGTTTTCCATGAGATTGAGCTCTTTCAGGTTCTTGAGGTCTCGTATATCTGCTTTGACTTCTGTGATGCTATTTCCTCCCAAAAGCAAGTGTTCCATATTCAGCAATGTGAGCACTGACGACGGCAATTCTTTCAGCTGGTTATTAGAGAGGTTAAGCCGCTTCAGGCTGCCAAGCGCTTGTATTTCTGGTTGAACTTCCGCTATTTGGTTGCGACTCAAGTCAAGTGTCTCTAGCCTTTTCAGATGAAACAGTGGTTCAGGTATTTCAGTAAAAAGGTTTTCGCACAGGTTTAAGTGTATGATGTTTCCAAGCGATTGGAACTTTGATGGCAATGTCACAAGTCCATTCTTTCTCACGTCCAGATTCTCAAGTTTTTTCAGTCGCCGCAATTTACTGGGTAGAGATTTCAATTCATTGTCAGAGGCATTCAGCTTCTTCAGGTTCACTAAATGTCTCACTTCCGGAGGAATTTCTTTGATGGAGCACTTGAAGAGAGACAACTCTTCCAAGGACCCGAGGCTAGACAATGGCAAAGACGAGAATGACCCGGATAATGAATTTTCAGAGATGTAAAGCTTGCGGAGGCTGGTAAGCCGCTTGACATCTGGGCTTACGTCCTTGATACTGGTCTTACTGAGGCTTAGCTCCTCCAGGGTTTCAATGTCACAGATGTGCTGTGGGAATGACTTCATTGTGTTACCGGAGAGGTAGAGCTTCTCCAACTTTGTGAACTGTGCAACTTGGAATGGTATGTCTGTTAAGCCGCATTGCTTCATTTCCAACTCCTCAAGAGAAATCACCGTGCAAACCTCTACCGGGAATGATGAGAACGCGTTCCTGGACAAGTACAGGCGTTTCAAGTGGCGCAATTTTCTGATTTCGTCTCTGACCCGTATCAGTTTCGTGTTCCTCAGGTTGAGCTCCTCCAATGTTCCAATCCAGCAAACTGGCAAAGGGAACTCTGTCAGCTTGTTGAAGGAGAGGTCTAGTGATTTCAGGCGCCTTAGTTTCTTCACCTCAAATGGCACGTGCCTGAAAACGTTGCAGCTTAAATTAAGTACCTCCATCTGCAGAAGATTGCATACTGTCATGGGAAAAGAGTACAGCCTATTTCTGGAAACGTTAATTTTTTTCAACATAGTGGGCAACTTGAAGGGTACTTCCTTAATGGCATTGTCGCTGATGTCTAGCTCTTCAATGGTATCCATGTCAGATAGCACGGATGGAAATTCTTTGAGTTTGTTTCTAGATAGATTCAGTCTTTTCAAGGCCTGAAGTTGCTTGATCTCTGAGGGAACTGTCGTAATGTTGTTGTGACTGAAGCTTAAGTCCTGGAGAGCTCCCAAGGAACACACCTGCAGTGGAAACGTCTCGGTCCTATTTCTAGATAAATTCAACTTTTCCAACAGCTTCAATTGCGCGAATTCCTCAGGCACTGAACTTATGTCATTGTTGCATAGACTCAGATCACGAAGTGACTCCATCTGACAAAGATGCAACGGAATTTCGGTGAGTCGATTCCACGAGAGGTCGATCTTTTCTAAATTTTGAAGTAATTTAATTTCTGGTGGTATGTGGGTGATGTCATTCTTTATCAGAAGGAGCTTTCGTAGACTTGACAGCTGAAGAACTGCTTGTGGGAATGCTTCCAAATGGCACCAGGAGAGGTCCATAGACTCAAGGCAGCTCAGTTGCTCTATCTCACCTGGGACGTCTTTGATCTTGTTGTTGTTCAGGACAAGATCTTCCAGCTCTGTTAGCTGACAAACGTCCAGTGGGAAGAATTCTAACTCATTCCGGGCTAGATTTAACCTCTTCAGGTTACTAAGGTCTTTAACTTCTGGTGGAACGGTTGCAATTCTGTTGTTGTTTAAATTCAAATGTTGGACAGAGCGGAGTATGGGTATATTGGTTGGAAATTTGTTAATCTTATTCCCAGAGAGGTCTAATGTATGCAGTTTGCGGGAAAAGCATTCCTGCTTTAAGTCCCTTGCCCTAGAGATATTTTCTCCGGGAGTGCTTGGGGATGAAACATGCCCTGTCACAATACTGGATACTTGAGCATTCTCTGGTGGAATACCGGATACTGGAGCACTCTCTGGTGGAATACCGGATACTGGAGCACTCTCTGGTGGAATACCGGATACTGGAGCCTTCTCTGGTGGAATACCGGAGACTGGAGCATTCTCTGGTGGAGTACCGGAGACTGGAGCATTCTCTGGTGGAGTACCGGAGACTGGAGCATTCTCTGGTGGAATACTGGATCGGGGAGCATTCTCTGCTGGAATACTGGAGACTGGAACATTCTCTGGTGGAATACTGGGAACTGGAGCATTTTCTGGTGGAATACTGGGAATTCTGTCTTCTGCTGGTGAGGTATCTTTGATGTCGTTGCTGCTCAAATTGAGAACTTCTAATGCCCCTATATTACATAAGTACGGGGGCAATTCATTCAACAAATTCCACGAAAGATCAACTTTTTTTAATTTCTTGTAAGAGCGTATTTCGGGAGACACGTTGAATATCTTGTTTTTCCTTAAATCCAAATTTTCCAGATTGTCCAAGACACCACCTGGTGGCGGGAAAGACCCCAAAGCATTTCTGGATAGATCTAGATGTTTCAAATTTGTAAGCTTTTTAATTTCTTTTGGCACCGATTGAATACCAGTCTTCGACAGGCCAAGTTCCTGTAAATTGGTCAGCTCACACAATGGCAATGGGAATTCACAAAGCTGGTTTTGGGACATGTCTAACTCTGTTATTTTGGTCAGTTGCTTTATTTTCTTTGGTACCTCTTTGATTTTGTTGCCCTTGATGGATAGTCTCTCCAGAGCTGGCAGGTCACATATGGATTCAGGAAATGTTTGCAGACATGAATTGGAAACATCAAGTCGTTTTAGTCCTTTGAGGTTAATTGTTTCTGGGGGGAAGTTAACATGAGAACTGCACACATTATATAGACGGATTTTTTTGGGTGAAGGCATATCGCATGAGGAATCTTCATCTTCAATTCCTGGTGACATATGTACTTCGAAACCACTATTTTCTCCATCACATCCATTACTTGATGATTGATAAAAAAAGTCACCAAAGTCATTTTCGTCGTCACATCCGTTATTTGATGATTGATAAGATAAGTCACTCAAGTCGATTTCTTCATCACATCCCTTGCTTAATGCTGGATTAGACGAGTCAGAATCAGAGTCTTCTGGTGATGAGTTGTCCGATGACTCACAATGATAACCAGACTCGACCGTTTCCATCCCTGCTGATTCAGCACTATATAGAACTTCTTCACTGACACCAGTATCCAATTGTACCTTTGATGAATCTGAAACGAAACCACTGTGCCCTTGTCCTGACAAGTTACTATGCGATGTGCTTGCGTCATCCCCATCATTGCGTCCTGCAGCATGATCTGTGTTTCGTTCTTCACGCTCTGTTCGGAATATAGGGGCAGGTAACAGGCCACTGGAACCGAAGTTTTCAATTTCCACTTGTGACAGATCTATTGTATGGTACCCCAAATCTGTCGAGTGTCCCGAGTCAATGTTCACAGGTGCTGTCTTCAGGGAACTTGGTGGTACACCGATCAGAGGATTGCCGCTGATATCCAACTCCTCTAGAGAACGCAGCGCACACACCTCTGGTGGAAGGCAGTGGAATTTGTTACCAGCAATGTTTAATTTCCTCAGGTTACTGAGAGTGCTAATCTCGTGGGGAATTTTATTGATGCCTGTTGCTTCTAGGTCCAGTTGCTCCAAGGACGTGATGGTAAAGACACTCAAGGGTACTCCACTCTCTTCAAAATCGATGCCTGTCAGCTTCAGTGTTCTTAGCCCACTGCAGTGACTGATTGAAGATGGAACAGCCGAGGAAAGATGGCTGAGATCGAGACTGACCCAGGTTTTGACTTCATCGGGACAGGGTTCGTCGTCGCCGATAGAGGTTAGAAGGGAGAACTTCTCTGCGTCGCTTTTCTCCTCACCCATGGTGCTGCTGTGTTTGGACGTGTAGACGATATGCTTATGCTTTGCTGAAAAGTATATATATTTGAGATTATGCTGTGATCACATTGGGGTCTCTTTTCTTTTATAACGCCCTTATTACTAGTACTTTCCTAAAAACATATATTCAGGATTTCTGTCTACCGTACAATCCAAGTAAATACCGAAAATGCACACGTAGATTAAATTTGCAACAAATTAACATTGTAAACCACAAAAGTGTTGACAAAATTACACCTCTCTTTTGAGATTTTAGTTTCTGTTTTAGAATAATCTGAAGTCTATATGCATGTTCACTGGAAACTAAGCATTCCACATTTCTAAAAAATCTCAACAGAATACCATGAACAATGTGACTAACTAAAAAAAGGTCAAGATTATAGGATTGCGGAACATGCATTTGGATGAATATAAGAAGAATGTGAAAGATATTTCTCTCAAAGCATAAGACTGTTCAGACGTCTTGATGGTTTAGCCATTTTCTGTGAGGACAGTTTACCACCGTTACAACTAAAGAAAACTGAAATACCCAAATTAATGGAGAGAGAAAATACTGGCCAGAATTTAACAAAGGGATCATTTTAATACAAAATCTGCCTTTACGGTATTCTGCTGCAGCACAACAGGAAGATGTAAAATCTATGCATCGATTAGAATTGAGTGCTGAAAATTTAATTATTTATGGGTTGAAAACTTAAGACACGTGTTGTTTAAAAAGCTTACACAGTACTGCTTAAACAGATCAGCAACCAACGTTGCCTTTGCCATAGCTTTCAACATTATGTTTTTTTTTGTCTTAGGGCGTACTGGGTGTGCAGGTCTTAAAACGCCGCGTCTGCCACCTTTAGAACCTTGACCCTCTGGGTGTCACCTACCAGTGGGTCTTAACAAACTGCACCTGTCACCTTAAGTACCTTGTCTCTGTGGTTGTCACCCTCCTACGGGGTTTTTAATACCGCGCTTGATTTCTCAAATGCCTCACTGATAGGTGGTTCAAACAAAACAAGATTTGGTATAGGGGGCTTACTATCAGAAAAAACTACCGAAATCTGATTAAGAAAATGTACTTGTACACATTTGTTTGACGGGGTATTGAAATCATAGGAAATAATCCACGCTAGCATCAGTGCCTTTTACATTGTTGATTTAAAACCCGTTAAATACACCTTACCTAATATCACAGCTTTAAGCCCGTGTAAATAACCCGCATATCCATAGCAGATCTTGGAACAGTATGTAGAAAATGACATAATGCAACGTAATCATTTTAGAGTGAATATGATGTTTTTTTTTTTTTTTTTTTTTTTTTTTTTTTTTTTTTTTTTTTTTTTTTTTTTTTTTTTTTTTTTTTTTGCATTGGCTTCCTGTTATAACGCGATTTTCATCGCCAAAAGGCTACTTCTTGTAGTCACCAATCATTGCTCGACTCAATGTTATATTGCATTACTAATAAAATTAGTTCTTAAAGACAAAGACTTTGACATGGAAATCACCAAAAAAGAGTACGTTGATGCTGTCGTCGACAGAATATACCGTTACATGGACAAGGAAAGGGCAAATATTTTTGCACCAATGTGGACATGTACATGGCAGCATTTTTGGTATAATAGGGGCCCCAGAGGTCGTAAAACCTTTGACGACATGATAAAAGACCATCGTCACATCCTTACCAGCCCCCACTACATGGAGAGCGCCAAAAAATGGATCAACGTCTTTTTTGACACAGTTCTTGCTCGTGGGAAAGAGACGATCTCCTTAGACGAGTACAGTGTGTTTCTGAAATGCTTAGGTGTTCACCCTTTGTCGGCCAAATCCGCCTTTCACTCGCTTGACACTGACAGCAACAGTTTGATCAGTAAAAAGGAGTTTTTGAATGCTAATAGGTTGTTTTGGACTGCGCCTAATTCTACAGAGGGTGATCATTTCTGGGGCCCAATGTTGGCTTGGAGCGCATTCACTGGTAAATGCACTTATCATTTGTTTATTTCCTCATAGAATCCTTGTTTATCAATCATCTTTGGAGTGATCTCCTCCAAGTTTATTTGTGGAACTCAAAGATTGACAAATTATTTGATATGGCACTCTAGCCAACATTCTTATACCCACTGGCACTTATTAATTGGATAAAAAGGATTGATCCTACAAACAAAAATGATCAATAAAGTTTTGAACCTTAATACGAATATTTGAATAAATGTTTAAGCGACTGTCAAAATCAGTTGTTATTTGCATGAAAAATAATCTTATGGTCAAGGAAGATAAAATAAAACAAAACAATGAGGCTTGGGCACACCAGTTTGGTAAAATAACACTTTTAAAATGGGTAGAACGGTAGTTTATATTATCTCTTTTGCAGGAACTTCTGAAAAGACACGCATGATCAACGTTCTTCATCCAAGAAGAAATAACTAAGCGATACGGGCTAACCTTCTAGAATATTTCGGTGTGGTGAGCAATAATAAACAATACTTGGGTACGCTAGGTAAAACAGAATAACACCCTAAATATATTTGTATATTATTAAAAAGTGAAAAATATTTTTTATAAATTACCCAGTAAAGACGTTTCGTATATTGTGGTGTTGACGTTTGTGTGAGTTTTTATTCTGCAATCAAATGTCAAGTATGTAGATTTTACTTAGGTGAATGCAGGCATTGTATCTCTTTCACCCTACCTGCGGTGTATGATTTCTCAAAATTAGGTTTGTTTATCGACGCCTGGTTTGTCAATAACTGATTACGATATGCTGTTCAACCGATAACAATAAAAACGCCAGCAGCTTAAATACAGAAAATAGGTCAGCATTTAGACCAGAATCTTTGATATTCCAGTACCCGTGTCCCTCTGGATATATGTTCTGTTACGTGTCTCCTGAAGGCTGTATTTTACTCCCGTACAAATCATACATGGCCTCTGTCACTGCCTGTGGATTGAGGTACACTCCCACCATGCCTAAGAGATCATGTCCCCACCTGTCCTGCACAGCCTGTCATTATTAGTCCCTACATTTATATTGCTGATTACAAGGAGTTCTAAGAAAAGAGCGCTTTTAGCTAGAACCCCTAAAGAAAGTAAGGCACGGTATTGAGACATGTCACTCCTCTCCAGGCCATTTAAAGTTTTAAACTGAATTCATGAATTTAACACAGAAAATATATCTTAAACTGCACACGGTGACTAATATAAAAATATTAAACTGTAAAAGTAAAAGCAATGCACCGCTGGTTTCGATTACTTTTTAGAAACTGATATCTTGAGTGTTTAAAAATTGATAGGCCTGGCAGCTACTTAGTGCGTCGTACAGCTAGTATGGTAAACGTAGAACGAGATCAACTTGTTAAGTTATTGTTTATTTCTACCCGTATGACCTCCAGCATTCACACTTACCACAAGTAAACATCTTTTTTTAAAAATAGGTCGTGCGTCGTGTACATTTTACTTCATAAGTTATACGTGAATAAGCAAAAGGCATCCCTCTCCCTCTCTCTCTCTCTCACACACACACACACACACATACACACACACACACATACACACACACACAAGCAGTATAGCCTACAGTGGACTTTTGTTGTGCATAAACGCGCTCGCATGAGCGTGCGTGCGCTCATATGACCACAATATCCGCCATGCTAGTTATTAACACTCCGACAAGATATACACCCCTTTCGGTTGTTCAAAGTGACATACGGTATTCGTGTATCCAGGTATTTCCTTACTTTCACTTTCGAATTTCAAACAACGGTATATAATCTGCCCACAGAGACGAACCATTTTGTGTCGTCAAGTTTAGTGCTGGTTCTTCACATAATCATACAGATGGGACCTTAAAACTATTCCTTCCGCTAGTCCTGTAATTTATGCTAATATATCGTTTCTGTTATGTAAAATAACGCCAGCATATCTTACCTGATTCATGGACTTGCAACCCTGTACCTTCAGCAACCGCCCTAGTAACGTGGTGATAAAGCCCCGCCTCGTTTTAGATGGGACGCCGGATGTCACTTTAACTTTACCGGCTTTTTATAAATTTTGAACTATCACCAAAACAAATAATGCCAGAAACAAAACATCTTTTCTTTCAAAGCATGACGATAGATACATTGCCTTGTTATCAAGTATCTATTTCTCGCGTGCGCGAACTTGAACGAGTGCACCTTAACACGGAAGTAGTTTTATGTGGGAAATACCAGGTTTCGTTCACTAACGCCATCTACTGGTAGAAGGAAAAATTGATCTGTATACCGCAGTGGTGTGGATTACTACTACATAAGAACATGGTCTGAAATTCGCCTTCATCATTAAGTTCTGTGTGCCTGTATATGGTGTCATCACAAATGGAAGGCAATATTTTTCCCGCGTGTAAGAAGAGACAGTGGGGTGGCTTGCACAAGCCCCCTCCAGCCTGTGTGTGCGTGTGTGTGTGTGTGTGTGCGTGTGCGTGTGTGCGTGCGTGTGTGTGTGTGTGTGTGTGCGCGCGCGTGCGTGTGTGTGCGTGCGTGCGTGTGTGTGCATGTCCGTGTGTGAGTGAGTGCGTGCGGGCGTTTTAACACGGTCATCTCTTGTCTTAATTTTTAAAGAAATCAAGGAGACACAGGTCTGACGTATTTCAATCTGACTGTACTTTTAAGCATTATATGCAATTGCACACGTGGCTGTTTATATGGACTTGTCACAGAAAAGTTGTCTATATATATGTTAGATTTTCTCTAAACCTAGATAAAAAGAAACAAGCACACGTGCTTAGACACACTCACACGAGTTCTAGCGTGCGTTTCAAGTTTACTTCAACAAGAAATAAAGTCATAACACGCCTTAAAAAGTATATTAAGTGATCAAAAATTGTGATAACTTTAAAAAAGTATAAAGTATGTATTTTCTAATCTTAATGGATACTTTTACTGACTTATTTATTTATTTATTTATTTATTTGTTTGTTTGTTTGTTTGCGTGTTTGTTTTATTTTATCATCACTTCACAAAATTACAAAGTAATTATTTCATCATAAATAAACTCCGCCCCCAACTGTTTTATGCCTAAAGGTATGCACAAGTGCATACACAAAATGAAACGCCACTTCCAAGCAGTGTGTTAACCTCCCAACACAGACAACACATTATCCTAATTCAATGTTTGTTCTATGGGCGGCTTGGATAGAATGGCATTTTTTCTGAATGCTTGAAGGTAATTACTGACAAATACGTCCCGTGTGGTCGGATGTGATATTTATGATATTTACAAGAAGGGGAGGGGGTGGAAAGAAATGCCTACATATCAAAGTTCCCTTTCTCTACAATTACAGATACCTGTGCCGAAGGACCTTAAAAAGATGCATTTAAAAACGGAGACGCATTTATTCTAAGTTATTGTAATGTTTGTGTCTGTCAATTACGTCATTGCCCATTTTTAATGTTTATTTGAAGTAAAAGAACCAGTGGGTGAGGGATCACCCAAGTCGCGCGCCTTTCTTTGGTTAAACAAAAACTAAACATACACAACACACCTTTTAACGGGAACGATTACACAACCACATCATTTACATTAAATACAACTTCAGTGTCACTTGTTAATGGCTGTTTTATCTATTAAGAGGCATTTTTCATTCTAACTTCAAGTTCAATTAAGGAATTAACAATGGAATAACATAAATCCAAAACACCAAGCATTAACAGGTGTCAGGAGAGAAGGAATATCTCCACACAGGGAGTGTCAGCGTGTTTAGGAGGAGGTGGTGTGTCCAAGGCACTCCAGACAGACTTTCACGATCTGAGGTTCAAGTTTTATTTCGTTCAAGACACGCGTGCATTTGACTAACTAAGGAGGGGTTTGGATTACGGTAATCTCTCTCTCTCTCTCTCTCTCTCTCTCTCAATTACCATCTACATACACGACGATGAGTATGCAAAATATGACCATTTTAAGTCTTCTGAAATGAATCCCAGAACCACCAGACCCTTATTGGAGATAAAATCTGAACTAGTGCGTTTCACTGAGGTATTCAAACATACAACTATATCTAGCACCTGCAATGACATGTACTTTAGAAATATTGTCTGTATTCCAGGTGACTGGTTTCAGCAGGTAGAGACGGATACTATACATTTCACACAATGAATATGCCCTTATTTTACGTCACATTGTTGCTGACTATACTCGTCAGCATGTCGGAAGCCAATCGTCAGCACATACCGGATGCTGACACCGACGACGACGAAGACGCCGACACCGTCATTACAGTACCGACCCCGTTCCCCGGTACCAGCACCGTCAAGGTACCCAAAACAACGGAAAAGGGGACACGGAGACTGAAGCTGACTTTCCCTTCAACTCCTAACCGTCTATGCCCAGGGTAAGACGACAGCTTACAGTGTACCTATAACATTAGATGCGATCTTTCGAATGCTTGCAACCGAAAAAATACAGCGCATCAGTAAACCTCAGCGACCACTGTGGTGTATATAGACAGTCTCTCTTTTAGATGTAATGAAAGTTACATTTCTTTAATGTTAATAGTCACAGGGTATTTTAAGTGTTCTTAAAGTAGATTGGAACGCATAAAGTATCCATATAAACTTGATTTGAATTGTATAGATATCACAAACATTTATAATGGATCGTATTGTGTTGTGATTTCAGAGTGCCACTGACGCAAAGAATCGTAGAATTACGAAATGTCACAGTGGGAAATACCACCATCACAATGGAGCCTGCTGCGATCAACGGAGAAATCACAGCCTTCCCCAGTGAAATATGCGCGTATGTAAAAATGTTCCACCATTCGTGGTTCCATGCGTATTTAAAGTTAAGGAGAAATAAAAGTGAAGTTACATTATTCTAGTATAAATAATCTCAGCACGTAGATTCTATCTGATTATTTTTAAATTTTTTCAACCTTCACATAGATATATATTAGATATATACCTGATAGCGTATTATCCTGCAAGTTTACGTGGATCTGGTAATTTCAGATGGAGGATTCAGAAACACTATGGAGACAGCGTCAACATTAAAGGCATTGGTATCTATGAAAAATGGTGAGTTGCATTCTCACTGGACTAACAGGTGGGGTAGAGATAAAAGCCAAATAAAATATGTCTAAACATACGTGTACACGGAAGCAAAACCAGTAAGTTCACCATCTGCACCAATAATACTTATCACACTTTCCTCTAAATTTTAAAATTCCAGAGACTTGGATACTTTTTTAAAAAATTGTGCTTAAAATTCAAAAATGAATTCCATGTATATACATACATACAGTGTTTTGTAGGTTTGAGATAATCACAACCAAATCATGTTTTAGAATCAGAATTCTACAAAATATTTTTAAATATAAAAAAAGATTATAAAAAAAATATTTTTAAAACAATATTTTATTTAAACACACCGGAGCGGGCTTTTTGGGGGATAACTGTACTCTTAACATGTTTACCCTCTTAAAATTAAGAATTTAATCTTTATTTCTATTTTAAAGAAACAAAATACAGGCCATCCATTATCATTTAATTAACCCTACTAAGGGGAAATGAGCACTTAGCCACCCCACGTTTATGGGCTAAAAAGTCATGCGTAGAAAGTATAATGTAACGGTTATTGCCACTACATCCGATCCGCTTGTAAGGACGGAAAGTTGACTGATACCTTAAGTGTAGTGTCTTTAAACACTTGATCAGTGCAATTAAAACTTCATCATGAGATACGCCATATTACAGTACTTTGCAGAAAATCTACAGGTTAAGTGTGTCGACGCGGTGACAATTTTGCAAATGTGGATAAATTCAACCATTTATGACCAAGTGCAAATTAGGCTTAAAATAAATGCATGGAGTCATTGGACTATGGACCTGCAAGAAATGTATATATTAATCATGAGTGCAATTTACCGTAGCATAACATTATAGTTTACAAAGTAACACGTGACATCGGGCAAACTACATGTACGTCCTGTAGCTTTATAAAGGAAGTGCAAAGTTACTAGGCAAGCGCCTTAGCACCACCTGAAAAAAGAATGTTTCATTTCCACAAATAAACGCATTCAAGGACTGTTTTGAGTCCATGTCTAGACGTTACAAACGTGCGCAGGAGACGAAATAAATTGTCTATCACACACACAGACACACACACTTTAAAAAAACGACGGTCAAATTCGTTAGTGTCCAGACCGAAGCACAACCATATTTGCGGACATGAACCTCCTAACTACCCGACACCGACCACTTACAGGTACCCACATCGTTTATCGCAGACTATTGCGAAAGTTAAGTTTAATTCTGAAATAGTTCCTCATTTGATATGCAATGGCACCCGAGAAGTGTGTCGGTATGGGTGGAATGTTCAGATGACGTATATCGTACCGTATCCAAAGTGTTCCGGAGACAGGAGAGAGAAGGGAGCTGGGACGTATTTTTGAAGACTGTGGTGACATGTAAGGCTCACTATATGCTTATATTCAGATAGTTTTCAAGGTCGGATATTTACGGATTACGTTTGAAGAAGACACGTGCCATTATACAACCGTACATTTGTCCTGAGTATAACTGAAAAGTCTTGAATTACGGTAAGCTTCTCCTCTTTTTAATCTCTTTCTCTCTCTCTCACACACACACACACACACACACACAAACACACACACACACACAACAGTGGCATTGATTAAAACAGAAGAATATGGTCAACGGTCATCGAAGAAGTCTTTGGCAAATTTTGTTCCATTTCTTTTCAGTACAGAATAAGCATATTATCCTTCTTCAAAACAACATCCACATTTTTTATCTCTCTATACGTACGTTGTCTAACTACATTACATATTTGTTTTGTTATATAACAGCCGTAGGGCAAGATATCCAAGTGCCTCATACTGTCGCTATGACTGTATCTGCTTTTATTCTGATGATGCTCCTGGTCACTACCAGCATTGCTGGCTACACCGTGCCAGAGGCTGATTTCCTTGTTCAGTCTGACACCGACTCTGGCGGAGACGCTGCCACCATCATTACTGTCCCGTCACCCTTTTCTGGCACAACCACCGTCAAGGTATCGGCTGTCATGGAGAGTGGTAGCAGAAGACTGAAGCTCAGTTTCCCTACCACACCTAACCGATTGTGTCCAGGGTAAGACTGCCCTCTACCAAAGTCACAGAGATAATTTATTTCACAATATATATTCCTGACTGTTCATTATATGTATAAACTTAACTGTGAGGGGAAAAACGGCCAAATGCTACGTCATCTACCACGTGGTCTCACGTTAAGAGAAGGGTACATAGGGCGTCCTACTTGATCCTGTATTCATCTATGATGTTACTTTTTTATTAAAAAAATTGGAAATTATATCACTTCATTTGTATAATTATGGCACCTAAGTAAATATACTGTATGTCAATATGTTGTTGTATCGACAGGGTACCATTGACTCACTTTATCAGTGAGTTAAGGAATGTCACAATGGAAAACACGACCATCACCATGGAACCTGCTTTAATTAATGGAGAAATGACGTCTTTCCCTAGTGAAATATGTGCGTAAGTGTTTAACGTAGTGGAATAATTAGTCAATGCAATGTGTTATCAAAGCGTGAAATGGAATGGTGTTGTTAAGTCGTCAAAAGACTCAACCTCGAGTGTAGTATGGATGGGAATCACGCGAGATGGCTCAAAGTCTCGCAAATCAGAGTGAAATCGAACGAAATTCGCAAATTTAAGGGACGGGGCATAATAAAATTGCAGATTAGCAAGCGCATTGCTGCAAGGAACAGAAGCTGATAGAATGTTTGTCTTAAAACACGCACCTTTGTATAAAAATAATATATTGTTTATAGTTTATGATTTAAAATACTGATTTATGAAATAAATCTACCTCACATATAAAATATAATAAAATGATAACTAAAAGATCAGAAAAAAAGTATTTTTTTAAGTTTTGCATTCAGTTAAGCGTGGCTCGGTTCGTTTCAGATGGCGGATTCAGAAAGGTTATAGGGATAGTGCCAACATAAAAGGAATGGGTGTCTATGACAATTGGTGAGTTATTTGTTTTGTTAATAGTCACATGGCTGACAAGCAGGGTGAAGATCTGGCTGGGAGATTGCAATAATCCACTTTTACATATGACGGCTTAACTCCAATATTTCAGTTTCTCACAAGGCGCCTCCTTTAGGGATGCACCGAACAAACCTCTGGACAAACTGTTGTTTTCAACCGTATGATATTCCATAGTTTTAAGTTGTAGAAAATGACACTGTTAAGTTTGTAAAATTGACCACAATTATTATAATGTATTTGAATGAATAAAAAGGATAATCCATTAGGCGTTTGTGTTTTTTACTCACTGAATGTACTCGCATATGAAATGTGTCGTTTTACTATGCAGTCGAGTTCCTTAACGGCTAACCTGTACGCCAATGACTTTAGTTACAAGTCACAGATTGGAGCATGAAGTTTATAATGTGGTCGGTTGTTATGTTTATGACAAACATGTTAAGATTAGACGCATGTTTGTGTAGCGTCATGTAAGGGTCAGCAGTACATATTACGAGTTGAATTGTCAGCAACTGATTCAGGATATGTAAGATACAGTTTGAGCATATAAATTCGATATGATGACTCATTTATTTGTGATTTTGAACTCAGTTTCGAACGAAAGTGGTTTTAAACTTGTTCACAATCTCTAGATATACAGTTGGCTATTTTTACTATTGAAATGAGTGAATAAGTGTAAAAAATAACAGGAAGAAATTTTAAAAAAAATTAGGAATCACTATCGAGATACTGCGACCTCAATTCAAGCCATATTTGTCTACTTTCCAGGCAGGACTCCCAGAAGTGTATCAACAAGGCTAACGAGGACATGACCTGCGTGGAACAACTGCGAGAGGTACCTTGGCTCTTTCAGTGCCTGGGCGGCAAGTGCCCGGAAGGTTACACCGGACCGGCCCTGATGATGCTGAAAGTGCCCATCCCCATTGCCTGCTTCTGTCAGCTGATACCAGAATAAAAAAGGGAGGAAATTACGTCCATTTATTTGGTTACTTAAAAATATAGGAATAAACGTACTCTGCACAGGACTGAGGTGATCTCGACTTGCGTGAAGTTATTTCAACGTCTTCATTTTGACAGTGAAATATTTCACCAGACAAATTCGATATGTCCGCTTCTTTGCAATACAGAAAGTCGCCGAAGATATTAATGCACCATCATATTCAGAAGTCAAAATGAGACAAACGATGTTTGGATTTTGAATATCATTATTATGTATTACCATAGCAACACACGATATGTAAAAAAAAATATAAATTAATGGCACAGCGCAATAATACCTGACCACGGCAGACTGATAGACACAAACAAATCCGCAGTATACATGTACTATCATTGGGTTTGCAATAACTAAGTTAACGAAAATCCATTGTAGCTAAATAGTGCACACAGATTGCTCATTGTTATATTAAAACGGTACCTAAAATGCCTGTTTACTTATTGGAGTTAGTTTTTTTCTGCTAATAAATAGCAGTCTATTTCCATCTACAACGTACCATACACGTATGGGAACCTCAAGGTTGTCCATTACACGTATATCACACCATTCAATTCACTGAATCAAATTCAAAAACTAAAACCTTGAACCACCACGAAAGAGATCAAAATCTCTATCAAAACTGCAATCTGACTCCAAAGCAGGCCACACCCGTTACAAGTGCCAGCCGTGATGTTAAGATAGGTCTCAAGGCACATGCGGATCACGTTGCCGCGCACAACGTACAATTGATCATCTATGACGTCACCAGTTTCCGATCGGGTCAATGTATACGTAACGGTTCCATCGGAATCGATGCTCATTGCATGCTGAACCACAAGCGATCTTTCCACTTCAAAAGTTATGACGTAGGGGATGTCACATATGACGTCATATTGAGTGACGTATGGCAGTATTTCTCTGTCTGTAGGTGGATTCGCCAACACTATGCCTACTTCTGTAAGGGATACCGAAATGTTTTCCGAGTTCCAAACAGGCATTGCGCTTTGCTCAAGGGAAGGCATAACTGCTACCAGTCGTTCCAAATCCACCTCGGGCGCTTCTGTGTCTCCATCTAGCGTCACGTTGACCTTACTCAGATAGCCCCAATATGCGTGCCGATCAGTTCCGAGAAGAAATGGTCTGAGAGGCTCTCGGAGAGTCACGCTTGACTCCGGGAGATTCAGTTTGGAGAGGAAGGAGTTTATTGTGCCATCAGCCGTTGCCTCTAAACCAAACGTGTCGCAGGTTCCCGTCACGGCTGCGCCAAATACGAACGAGACTGAAAAGAGGTTGTTGGTGCTTGTGGTTTGCCGTTTGTCTCTGGGCCAGTGTACCATGACGGGCGTGGAGTTGGAAAACTTTGTTGTGACGTGGGTCCATGTTCTACTGCCGAACCCCTTTTGTTGAATACCCTGCTGAAAGAGAATGCCGATTTTGTTAATAATGTGCACACTTGGGAAAGCGTATGCAATCACGGGCAACATGGGCAAGAAAAAGGAATTGCTTACAAAAATTTCACAATCCATAAATGCCAAACTAAAAATATAGAATATACACAACATAAAAAATGCACAACCATTCTACATTTATTCATAATCATAATCAAGTTTTTTAAGCATTATAATCTAATCAGATGTAGGAATTTTTACATTTTTAACTGGCTGAAATGCAGCTTTTGAATGAAAAGTTTATCTAAACCAAGAAAGCGATAGATATTTGACAGGCGCAAAAAATGTATCCCGTACCTTTTGTCCAAAATCGCGTGCCGCAGCAGGTGGCTTTTCGTGCATTGCGCCCAGATCATTGACTTTGTCTTTGACTTTCGCGTCCATCGGTCGTAAATCATTTCTTATCTTTAACATAGACTTAGGCGTCTTCGTTGATGCGTTGGCAACCGAAAGGGGTTGCAGAGCGGTCTGGGAATAGAGTTTAGACCCCTTTATTTGTTTTTGGGTCAAGCTTGTCTCAACAGACTCGGTTTGAACAGTTGTTCCAGCAACGCGCGAGTTGCTACTGTTGGCATGGTGATAGATCCCGTTAGACAACACGATGAAAACGACGACGCCCAGAAGAACTAGCGCGAAATACGCGCAGACGTCATCGGTGCTGTATCGCTCTCTGGGACGCCGAGTGTAGTTAAACATGGCGTCTCCCTCTTCCTCGCAGACAGGAGAAAGGTTTGCTTGAGTAACTCTGTCACAGAGCTTTGAAACCAACTAGTACGAGGTATAATAGGAACACACTTCGGGGCAAATTGACAGGTTCTTGGATAATGTTCGCTGAAAGATCTCCTGACTTTGTCACATTAAAAATTCTTAAACACAATATACAAGACTGTGCTTTGTTTTCCACCAGTCATTGCCAAATGCAAGATCTGTTGTGGTGACAGTTGAAGGGAGTTGCTGCTTATATTGCAATATCCCTTTGAACCCCTGGTTATTTTGTACAGTATTTTACAAGCCAGTAGTTTTTGTTTGCCGAACCATACTGACTGGCTCTATTCTAACTGCTTGCGGGTCTCATTACTTCTTTGGTTGATTCTGAATACGTGTTGGCTTTATGTCATATGGCAATATACCGTCACCTACTCGTGACAGATACTTTCGGTTCATTTAGCTTGTTCCTGTGTTATTGCCTTTTGGATAACAAGGCTAGATAGATAGAGAAATATAGAGATAGACAGGTGAACGGACAGACAGACAAAAAGACAGACAGACACACAGACAGACAGAGACGCGGACAGATAGACAGAGTTTAAGGCACCTTGTGCTCGGCCTACTGCACTTACCTGAGCTGGTACTTCTCCAGTAGGTGACCACGCCCCTCTGTAGTTTTAAGCCAATCAGAGCCTACGTGGACACGCTCCTCTTTAGTTTTAAATCAATCAGAGCCTAGGGGACCACGCCCCTCTGTAGTTTTAAACCTACTTAAGCCCAGTGTCGGTCGTTCTCTCTTTTCATGGTGTTTGTCGTATAACTGTGAAGTGATTTGACGGGGCATGGCGATTTTACATTCAGGAAAAAAAAACATCCTCTAGGTCTAGATTATTAGACGAAAGCAAGCCATGCGGTGATGCGAAGGTTGCTTCAGGAAGAATCACTTCACGTTATCTGGTTTGTATTAATGAGATATACTTGCGATAGAGACAGTGAATTATTTACCTCCACATGTACGTTAATGGTCCACCATCTGGTAACCATAAGCACGCAATATTTTGTTTTAAGACAGTGCACTAATCGGGGCTGACGTTGAAGTTGCAACGTACATGTATCCGGGATAGGATACAGTTTGTTCCGACAAACAGCTAAGTTCTACGATTAAAGTTGTTGTTATTATTATTATTATTATTATTATTCCATGCAGCCATGAAAGAAGCGTTCTTTATATGTTATCATGTAATTGTCAATGGTCAATTGTGAATGTCAGAAGCCAAACATGCCCTTCCTCCCACCCTGACACATTATTTGTTTTGTGCAGTACCCCAGATATGATACACTTAGTTTCCATTGTCAACGTGCTTTACATATTCAGGTTTTCAGCGGCTTGTGTGCCTATATAGTACTACAAATTTACATTTAAAACACTTTTACATTTCGGGCGAACGATGTACATCACTTGTTTACTAAGATTCCATGCAAGAATATGTCGGCTAAAAAATGTAAAAAATAAAACAAGAAAGAATTTTTAACGTTTATTCACGTTGAAATCGTGAAGATAATTGAATAGTTGACTACAAGGAAATTCCCTTATGTGCTATCAATTTCTGTTTGATACAGATAAATCTTTAAGAATATAGTCTACAATATCATCCTCATATCAGGATTAAAAACCAATAGGTACAGATGTATGTTTTCGTTGCCATGTTGCTTTAAATGTTAGGTTCTATTACTGTCGAACCAATAGTAACTCACGTTGTTTTTTACTCTCTCAAATATTCTTCAAATTTTTCACAGGTAAACTACCCATAGTCCAAGCCCCCTAGAGCTGAACTCAAGGCATCTGACAAACAAATGCACAGAAAATGATGAGTATGTCCAAATAAACATTGCTGATATGGCAATCACTATTCGTTTTTCGAATCAGCACACGTTTTAATTTTTCTTTCAGTGTGCAGCGTAAATCGTGAAACTTTTTTTTGTCATGTAGTTCTCTTTCGCGGCATAATTTGTCAAAAATGCAACACGTATTGTAGAAAGATAAGCATTACTACCGGTAGAAAAACCAACGCCATTGGCCCAAGAGTTGACCCTCGACATTTAATAGCCAGGTAGTCACTTTCGCATATAAACGCCACCTCGTCCCTTATTGTATAGTTTAAAGGACTGATTAACGTGTTAGTGCGGGCATTAAACAGGTACTGACGTCCACGCCGACCATGAACTGCTATCCCAAAGAATCCCAAAACCTCCAAAGGAACAGAAATGCTCGCACAGTCTATGTCAGTGTATTTTGATATAACAAAGGGGGGAAAATGACCAAAACTTTCAATCATAACGTGCGTTAAAAACCCCTCTTTCCACCTTTGTTGAGCTAACATTTGGTCTTTGAACAAAGGCACAAATGGTAAAAATCGCGAAAAGCTTTCTTCAAGAGAAACGAATGTGCCTAGGGTGTGTATCACTGAACGGTATCTAACATTCAGTTGTTTACTGACGTTTACACTCCCATGTACGATTCTGTACGGGTTTATGAAGTAGAAACCCATGGGCGTTTCCTTATCCTTATAACATGTAGAGTGAAAAAGACCCTTTGGTTTAAGAAAAGCTGTAAACCAATTATTTTCTGTCAAACACCGGCCAATGTAGCTTGAAGTGGGCGGAACCTCGACATCCCAGGCGTACGCCTCTGTCGCCAAATGAGGAAAACGGGTGTAAGAGTCGAATGCTTTGATACATCGGTGCAGCATTGGTTGGTGGAACCGAGGGCATTCCAACGGCAGACATACGTCCTGTTCATGAAACACAATATGAAAGAGATAAGTGCATAAATAGATGTATACAAAAACTAAAGGTATGCAGATAAGCTAATTCACACATTGGGGCTATCGGACGGATCCTAAACGACACGAACGCTAATTTGAAATCAGATGATGATTGAAGTAATTCAGTTTTGGCTATTTCTAGGTAATGTATTTGGCACATAAAAGTGTCATGACGTATTCAAAACATGTTTGATGTGACCAACACGATATGGAATGTTACCACATATATATATATATATATATATATATATATATATATATATATATATATATATATATATAATTTGATTA